CCCCACACACACACACAAAAAGGACAAAATAAAACAAAAACAAAAAGAACAAAACAAAACAACAAACAACAAACTAAAACAATCAAAACAACAACAGAAACAACGACAACAAAATACAAAACCGCACTATCACTGTGTCCAGGTCTTTTCCTCAATTTCTTTCAGTCAGTTTCTTTTTTTGTTTCTTTTTTGGTCTACCTCTACGTCTTTTATCGTCTATATAATTTCCAGTGCAAGCAATGTCTTCAAGACCTCTATGTCGATCCAAGTGTTCCAATAACTGCAATATTGTCTTTTTTTAAATTGTTTTTGTTTGTAACTTTCCCTCCCTGACTTCTTTGTGGGTGGGTGGCGGGTGCTCTGATGTGGTTTGCTTCTTACTTCCTATCAAACATTTATTGCTTTTATCTCCCCTCCTTCTTGTTGTGTTTGTTACTCTCTTGTAACACCTCATATCTTCGGCACTTATAATATGCTCTTATTGTGTTGCAAGTGCTGAAAAACTCTTACTAAAACTAAAACTGACTTTTTTCAATGTCTTTTTTAGATTATTTTTTCTTTTCACTTAATGAAATTCTCAAGTCTGTCAAGAAACCTCAACATTCTTTTCTTACTTACTTACTTCTACTTTTTTCCTGCCCATGTTACCTCAGAGTATCTAGAGGGGAAGCAAACGTTTTACTCTTGTTTTTCGTATCGTCTGTTGCATGGTTATGTTGTTTTGTCTAATGTTTCTCAGACAGCTCCCCCCCCCCCTTTCTATCCCTCTTTTCCTGGATCTGCCTCTTTCTCTGTATCTGTCTGGTCTCAATGCTACGAAATTGTCTGGTGGTAATCGTTTTGAGTTACTGAGACGATGAGGTAAGAAACCAATAAATGCTTTATAACTGTTTTATCAAAATCGTAAAATTATCCGAAGTGTTTATCAAAATATTCTAAGAATTGCATTCGCAAAATGTTGACGTATTGAGAAATTCAATAGTTTTGACGACAAATTTCTCGAAATTAAGTATTGTGCAAGATAGGACGTTGTAATTCTGAGGTAGCGAATTGCGCAAACCATTTGTGAGGCAACGTGGTGGAATCAGGCTCTCTTCAATTTTGGGGCATGTAGAGTTATTGGTATCATCGTAAAGCTTGTTGACTTGTCTTTATTTGGATGAAAAATATATCCATGTATCTTGAATACAAGTTGAGATATTTGCGAATGAAGGAGGTGGGGTCACCTGTTTTCAAAGGTAAAATTAGTGAGAAGATGGCCGCCAAAGATTTGTTATTTTCTTAGCTTAAGAGTCCGTGGTAGCTGCAAATTTACATTTTTTGTGCCTTTGATCAAAACTTTTCAGAAAAAGCCATACAGAAACGAGTTCTTTAATGGGCATGAAAGGTGTTGAGCCTAAAAAACAAAAATTCGAAAAAAATTCACAAACCTGCGGGAAAATGCAAGTTTCTTCACTTTGATTATTTTGACGAGAGCCTGAATCCACCACGCTGCCTCACATTTTATGTGTCTGTCTGTTGGGGCATTCAATGAAATCCCAAAAGTTCTCTCAAGAAGCTACATCATTTTCTTGTGACGTCAATGAGACGAACACACATACGCACATACACACAAACACAGAAACACACACAATCAGACACTCACAAACACTCATGGACACACACACAGGCACACACACGGACACATGCACACAGACACACAGGCACGCAAACATACACACACACACACACACATATAAACACTCACATACACACATATACACATACACACGTACACACATACACACACAAAAACAAACAAACCCCCACACACACAGACGCACAGGCACACACAGACATTCATACCATATACACATATACACATATTTACACAAACACACAAACAAACAAACAAACAGACAAACGAACCCACACTCTGTTTTTTCCTTGTCTCACCTTTAGCCAAACCCGCGACCCCAACTGTGAATCCTAACGCCGCGACCTTGAACCTTGGAGGGAAATACACTCTGACCTGTAGCTCGGCCTCGGCTGTGGACAGCGCCACCTACACCTGGAGCAAGGATGGGGACGACCTCCGGGTCACTTCCGCTCGATACGTGGTCAGTTTGAGATAGACGTATCTCAACCTCAGTGCTTTCTGGTCGTATCTTCATTTAAAAAAACAACCTTTCAAACAGTGAAAATTTGACTTCTTCTTATTAGGCTCACTCTTTGTTATGAGCTGTTTTCATTGTTATTAAAAATTAGGGAGATACGACGAGAAAGCACTGAGGTTGCGATATGGCCGCTTTTAAGTACAACGGGGCTATCCCGAAAAATGCTGTTTTGAGAAAATCGAAGGTAATGTTTTTGGTACCTTGTTCAGTTTCTTTAAAAGACAAGGAGAGTTTTCTCTATAACCAAACAAATATACACACCAATGAAACCAAACTTCTCCTATAGGTAGGGCAATGCTATCTTTTAGTGCAGGTCAAGATTTCTGGA